AATGATTATTAAGAATTAAAATCAGAAAGTTATCAAAGTATCGAAAGAAATTTTCTTTTATTATTGATTTTGAAACTTAATATTATGATAATATGACGAATGTATAAGTAAAACTTATATTTTTCATTTTTCAAAATTTACAATAAAGATGAAAAAATCATAAATTCTGCAGAGTAGAATAAGTTGTTTAAATCTTTTATTTTCAATTTGAAATATGTAAATGTTAAATATATTTATTTTCTGATTACACACTTTTATCTAATTAGATTGAATTGAAAGCTTTCAGCTTTTAACTCAATTACAAAGAAAGTTGGAGAAAGTGAGTTCTGCTTGCCTCCTATAACAATTTAGTTCCAATTTGTTATTTATATTATCTAATATTTTTATACTATTGTATATAATCTAAATATAATTAATATATATATTATATACAACCGCATATTTCAATAATTTTTTGTCTTTATTTGTGTAATTTTCAATTTCGATTTTTACAAGCCATTCATGACAGCTAGACGCGATCGAAAATGTCAGATATGATTCAGACGAATGAACGATGATTTATTTCTCCCGTCTGTTCTATTTTCATCACGTGCAGCCATATCTTCCCAGGCTAGTCCAGGATATAGTCGCACATCCGGATGAACCGAAGTCGGTTTGACACTCAGCAGAGCACCACGTGCAGCTTGTCCTTGCCTTTGCAAGTCGCCGTTTCCGGTAAGTCGCAACCATGACGGAATAAAGAAAATAAGTTTATTATCTTCGATCTATTTCGAGTATATTAAAATGTATATTAAAATGAGTTATTAAAATGTTTTAAATCTCAATATATTAAATTATTATTTTTAATATTTTTCGGATATTCATTCATTCATACAATCAATATCTATTTTTATCTTTTTTTTTAAATAATAATTACAAATTAGATTTGATTGCAATAATAATTGCAATAAGTGTTGTGTTATTTAATTACATTGTCTTAGTTGTTTATTCGATATTTCAATAACCTACTATATTAATTATTAAACGATTTTATTATCAATGCAAGCATTTCAAATAATGTTGCTTTATTTCCAAATAATTGCATATAAATGTATATAATCGAAATATGCATATGAGTTCCGTTTTCTCTTCAGTTTTTAAAAAGCACGCACGTTCCTTGTAATATTTAAACGAGGCAATACTTCAATCGTTTCACAGTAAAAAATATCCGATAATTGCATATTCATTCAAAATTCGAAGTAAAACTCGGATAAAACTGGCTCCATCATATGAGCCGACGAGAACTTCAATCGTAGGGAAACTACCGGAGACGATTTTTGTTCGCGACAGACTAACTAACGATGTGCTCGCGTGTCAACATAACTTATTGCATATGTAGCGTAACGTCCGACTTAAAAATGACGACGCCGGCTATTTGCGAGGCATTCTACGAACAGAGTCTCCGCGGTAAGAGTTTAATATAGCGCGGTCATGAGCCTCGAATTCTGGGCCAATAATGTCATGGTTTCCCACCCACTCCCCTCTTTTGAAAACACACGAAAAAGGAAAAAATTAAATCAAATCATATCACATGAGTCAAATCATTGTCTTATGATCTTTTCATTTTTATTGTAAATCTTGAAACAAGAAATATAATTATAATTAATTTTATGTTACTTTAAATGATAATACAATACTTGTTGATAAATTCCTGAGAACTCAACTTTTTAACAATAAATGTGATGTTTATTGACTTTTATCATTTTTCCCATGTTTCCAATGTTTTCTCAAGAGCATAAACAATGTATCACTCGACTTCATTTAAATAGCCTTTTAATATAATATATAATTTGTATTTCTATTTTTCGTTTTGTTTGAAAAACAGTTAAAACTTAATATCTTCTTTTATTTGTCCATTTATTTCTATGCAAAAGGATTTGTTGATTGAAAAATGTTACATAGACATAACGGAAATTCATTGTAATTCTATCCAATAGTTTAGAAAATTTTAAGTTTCTGTCTCTCTCTCTCTCTCTCTCTCTCTCTCTCTCTCTCTCTCTCTTTCTCTCTTCAGCAGAAGAGAATGTAAATTTTGCGAACGATGAATGAACGAGCATCCGGTATACTAATCATGTTGTAAAAATAATATGGAACACTAGAGAGTAAGCGAATTTATGAACAGAAAGCTGAGCACGTGCGGAACCGAAAATGGCATTAAAACCTACTGTAAATTTTATTCAATTTTGTTGTATGTATTCTAACTGTGCATTTTACGTAATTTTATATATATTATATAAATTAAATGGCTAATTAAAGTCATGACTGAAAATATTTTTAATTAATTAATATTTTACTACAAAAAATATATTAAAAATTTTTCAAAATTATCCAAAACCTAGTCGATTTCTTCTATGCCTATGAAATTGAGCGCATTTTAAATTCTGCTGACAATTTAGTTTATTATTAATTTAATAATTCTTCTAACTTACAGTTATTATATTTACGAAATCTAGATTTTATAAATCTAGTAATTAATTGTAAATTGAACAAGTGTTTAAAATGGCAAATATTTCTTTCGCAAAATGCATATATAAAAGATATATAGACACATATGACAAGCATTGATATCATATATATATATATATATAAAATCAATGCTTTTCATATGTGTGTATATATATATATCTTTTATATATTACATCATATTTTTTTCATGGGTACTTATCACTTTGTGTGACTCACTCTGTGATTAAATAGAACAACACTATTTGATATTACATTAATGATTGGTGTATACATATATTTCTCGATGTATAACTGGAGAAGCAGATAAAAATTTTATATTTCTCATTCTTCAGTCTATTGGAAATGATTTATATCAATTAATTTTATAATTTGAATATCTATACTATTTTCCAGTGATGATATTGAGATCAACTTTATACTTTATATTATATTAAGATTAATGATAAGTGATGATCAATTTTGATTTTTTCGTAGAGGATGTTCCAATAAAATTGATGGTAATAGAATTGATGATAATAGAATCGATTTTACTTGTAGAACAGTATCATATAACAGTAAATGGGCGTTGGCTTTCTTTTGAACATAGAACATTTTACTTTGTCCATTACAAGCTTCATTAGATATAACGCGACGTACTTTCGCCAATCGAACTTTCTTTTAGTCAATAAATCCCTCTTCTTCTCCGCACTGAATTATATATATAATCTCTATAATCTTAGAATACACAATCTGTGCATCATTTTCTAAAATTTTATAAATGTAATATAATATAATATAATACCATTTAAACTAATTAAAATTTTAATTATTTAATTTATCATTTTCCAAAATATTATTATAAATCTTTAAAATATATAAGAAATTATAAAAATTAAAATCTTTCTTTACACAGGCAAATTGTGTTGTGATTATCACGTGAACGCATTATCTTGCATTGTTTCGCAAAATGATATTCTCGTAACTCATGTCGCTACGTCCGATTGTTGTATAGCGAAATCACTAGTTCCCGGAGAAGAAAAAACTCGTTTACGTAATTCCAGCACTCCGTAGTGCGTTAAATATTTAAATTACCCGGAAAGGTAGATTTCCTCTTCTCCTCTCTCGCCGGGAGGGAATAAAATCTCGTAATCCGTGGTTTAACCATCAGCAAACGATCCCGACGACTAATCATTTCGATTATCTACAGCAGACATTTAAGCCTTTTTAATCTGCTACTACTGGTATCCGATTGAATATGTTTGCTTGCGCAAAAACGGATAAAATATTGAAATTCATTCATTCGAGTTGAAGACATTAATTCAATACTGAAGAGAAAATTAATTATTACATCTGAGAAATTCTTATTAAAAAATGCAGTGGATATAGATATATTCTAATGACATTAACACAATTAGATTTGTCGTATTGATGGATACAGAAGTCAATAGACATCAACATTCGAAGCAATGTGTTCGCAGTTGAGAAAGCCAGGCGGAGTTTCGCAATGTCAAGATACGATTCGATCGAGCAAAGAAGACTGGATGTCGGTCGCGTTCCCCTTCACCAATCGGTTGACCAGAACTCAAACTCTGATTTCAGTTTGTCGCAAGGATACGTAATCTCTATTGATATTAATATTTTTTACTTATTTTCGGTACATTGTAATTTTTGTAATTTTTTCTTTTGATAGAAACAGCGAATAAATGACTCTTACGATTTGATGCAGATTTATTTCTTAGTAAAATAGAATTATTATTCGTTATTTGTGTCAAACTAAAATATTACGAAGTCCTTTAAAAGTGAACTTTTAAATTTGTGCTTATATACAATAAAATTATTTATTCAGCACATTGAGCCTAATTAATACATCGACTTAATAAATTTAGATTTGCAAGTTTATGCAATACGATTCAATACGTCACCGCTTTTAGATTGCCTCAAGTACGCGCGTTTCAATGTAAAAGGACATTCTCCAGAGTGAAATGTCCTAGATCGAGAGCATTACTTAGCCGTTCTATATGCTTTAGAGATAGATAAGAATAGAAGTTAAGTAAAATAATGCAAGGTCGACACATTTCTCCATCGCTTTTATAATAGAACAAAAAAGAATCAAGGCTAAAGATATTCAAAATTAATTAGTGGCATAGATTCCATAAATTATGGAAAGTGATAGTGATTTTAGAATATTCTCTGATAAATTATAAAAAACAAAGCTAAACTACAATTGTTAAATATTAACTTTCGATTAATTTTAAATTTATAACCTTTTTATTATTTGTAGGAAAATAAAATAATGAAAAATATGAATTACAGATGAATAATAATACACCTTTCAGGAGCAGAAAAGAATTAACATTACTTTTTTTTTAAACTAGCGTGTATCTGCATATTTTCAAAATTATCACAAACATGTACGCATGTTACTAGTGCGCGTCCTTCGCGTTAATACCCACATTTCTAGCATAAAACAGTACTCTATCAACATGTCCCAGATCCATGTGGTTATCGGCACTCACCTCAGCTAAAAGAATCAGTAGCAGCAGAAAGATGCTGCTGAATTTGGATACCGGTTCTGGACAGAAGACTATACAGCCCATCATCCTGGATAAATACAAAATCCACCAATGGCGAAACTTCCTTAGTCTTCGAGCAATCTCCTTTTGTCCACCTCTTACCCAGATACTCACTGACACCTCACGGAATGACCCCCACAAAGACACCTTCGGCGTCCAGTTAAATAATGAGGAATGCGCGAGGAATGTGCGTGTCACATCGATCGATTGACAGCACTGGGACTTATTTCTTCGAGTCGCTGTGTGCCGTGCGTGTGGTATCACAAGAAATCGAGTGTCCCACTCCGGGCTCCTCGCAGTAACAACACCTGTTCGGTTGTTTGACAGCTATGCCGGTATCGGAGATAGTGACGGCGACGATGGCGGAGAAGCCAAGAGATCGCGGTGGTAGAAACGTTGGCTGCCATATCAATCGGCGAACCGCGTGTCGCCGAGTCTTCTGCTTGACTGAAGCTATGTATTATCGCAGGTCCAATACACCAGGAAACGATGACTCGATTAATACACAGCCCTCACACCTCGCTGCTCTTAGCTCTCAGGCTCCCCCACTTCGGTCTGGCACATCCGCTGTGTCAGGTGCATCAGAGTCATGTAAATTTTTCCAGAATAAATAGAATTTAATAAATTGTTTTCTTGTATTATAGCGTTCGTTTTCCATTAAATTCCGTTTCGACAGATCGCATAGTCTTCGTGTCAGATTGAAGGAATTTGATTTTGTGTGTTAAGCATATTCAATTTTATTTCTTTTTATTTAATGTATTTAGAAATGGAATGCTTCTTGCATTAATTTTGTTTTGTATTGCACAACGTTTTCTTTATATGAAATTACTTTGGAAAATGAGAGTTTAATTGATATAGACATCTAATACAATTTTTATTTAATATACTTTTATTACAACTGCTTTTTACATTTTGATGTCTATCTAACGTTGAAAATGTCAATGATCGATACATATGTAGATGACTATGCTACTAAAGAAAGTATAATAGACGTATTTCTACTTTATCTCTCACTCATATTGTGTTTTTTTGTTCCGCTTTTCTTCATATTCTTAAATAGAATACCAGTTCTTTCGCTCATCAGGCATCTTTGTTTCCTTCGATGTTATTTTTGAAGTATATGACATAAAGAAATCATATAATACACTAATGTAGCAATGAATTGAAGAGTATTATAAAATTACTTCACTTTCCTCAAAGAAGCCATATTGTGCTATATTTTTACTTCTATCTTATAGTATTCTCTTTTAAGTATATTTGTCTTATCGCATTTATCTATTCGTCGAACAAAAAATATGTTATCACTTTCGACTGGATCAGTTTTCGACTGGATTAGTTTTCTCCCTTCGTTACTCTGCGATTTGAGTACTCCAAAGTGTGGAACGGAATAACGAACTAGGGGTGGCACCCTTCGGCGCGGTCAACGTGACAACAATGAGGTAACGAAGCAAGCTTCACAAAACATTGAAAATAGCCGAGAGATTGCTCGGTGATCGGAAACGTGATTTTGTCCAGAAAATGGTCTGTTCGATCGATTTTCTCTTGCATTTATCACTACAATATCTTGTTTCAATGTTATGACAGCTAATTGTGTCGTTCAACGATGAAATCGTTATTTTATAAAATTAAAGAAATAATTCCAATTTTTTTTAAATATCACGTTTGTATA